TTGATGTTGACTCTCACATCTGTGATATGATGGTCAACATGCTCTTGGTATTATAGAGTTGCTGGTTGGTCTCACTTTAAATAATTTGAAATTTCTTGGGCATATAATAAGCAAAGAGGACTTAGAAAATTTGACACTCACAAAACATGTTGAAGGCAAGAGAGACAGAGGAAAGCAACTGATAACCTATCTAAGAAGCTTATGTAAATGGTTGGCAGAACAGAGATTAAGAAAGACAGTGAAAAAACAAAATTTACTAAGGACTATGAAGGACAGGAAATTGTGTAGAGTCATTGTTGGTTTCAATAAGTAAGGAAAGACAACAAAGACATCCCCCTCCCTAAATTTATAAAACAAAACACACAGATGCATGCTGGGATTTTTTCTTAACTAATAAGATATGTCACTTCTTGGTCTCATCAGACTTAAGTCTGTTCTTTCTTGTCTTGAAGTCAGAATGCTTCAATCGATTGTCTGTATCCCTTTTCATGTGTTAACACCATTCTTAGTTTTTGAAACATTTTGCTTTATTACTGTTGTTTTGCCTTGCTTATATTGTTTGCTTGCTTAATATTATTTTTCTCTGTTCTTTTTTCTTTCTCTTGTTATTATTTATTGCAAACTTTGTCAATTGTTTGTTGGGTATTTCTGACAATTACATTTAACCATGACTCTACAGCCATGATCACCCTGAATAAGACATTATAGATGAATTACAAAAAAAAACCTTCCTTTTTAACTTAATAATGTTATAAGAAATACATTTTTGTTAAACTATTATATGAAATAATTTATTAGTAATATTCTATATTTTTTTAAAAAGACTATCCATAAATTATAAGACAGAATTTATAGAAAATCTAAAAATATTTATGAAAAATAAATTTATGAGTAATATCCTATCATAAATCTTTTTAAAAGACAATTATAAAAAGACAGAATCTATGATTGTCAACAAAAGCAACTGCCCACAGTGCGTACCAAAATTAAGTAAGTACAAAAATTTAAATATCTACGTAGTATTTTTACAGAAGATGGAAAATGCAACACAAAAGCACATTTGAGTAGCAAAAATTGCCTTTCAAAATCTAAGCAAAGATTAAGAAACAGGAGAAACAAAGAAAAGGTTACATAACTGTTATGCAATGTCAGTCCTCCCATATGGCACTGAATGCTGGACAATCTCTTCACAGATGAAGAAGAGACTTGAGGCAACAGAAATATGGTTCTACAGAAGGATGCTGAGAATATCATGGACTGAACATGTGAATAACAATGAAGTCTTAATGAAAATGGAGACTTATACTTAGAATCAGAAAGAAACAGTTGAAATTTCTGGGACATAATGAAGAAAGAGGCCTTGGAAAATTTAACACTCAGAGATAATAGTGGCAGAGGGAAACTGAGTAATCTATCTAACAAGCTTGTGCAAATAGATGGCGGAACAGGACTGGTAGGTTTAGTAAAGTGATAAAACTTGCTTAGAGAGACAAAGAATAGAAAGTTGTGGAGAGCCATGATCACTTGAAGGGACATGGCACATGAAAGAAGAACTTTATATATTTATTGTTTATGCAATTGTCATCTGAGGATACCAGTTTTCATAAGCAATACTCTAAGAATACAATATTTCATAACTTAGAAATGAAATATTCTATTCTTTGGGTAATAGGGCAGATTACTTAATATCACTCAGCCAATATACTTTGTGTTACCATAACAACGAAATATCTCATTAGTAAGTAGAAGAGATTAGGTTGCTAATATATTAATAATTAATACATATATGCTTTCTTTGGATATTTTTACTTGAGGAAACAATTTATTGATAGGTAAGTTGACTATGATAATTAATAGAAATTTATTATAATAATTTATGGAAATAATACACACACACACACACACATATATATATATATATATATATATATGGTGAAGGGAAAGTTCCAAAAACAAGCTCTATCAATACAAAGACTGCAATGAAAGAAACAAAACAGACACCTACTGAAATAAAAATTAAAGTTTAGCAGTTTGGGCATTCTTCATATATGAAAACCAAACTGGAAGTTAATTAACATTTACTTTAGTATTTAAATTTATTTTTCTATTATCTTTTCAACATTATTGATCTAGTCAACAATTAAAAAATCCAGGAATGTTGAAGAAAACCAAATTCCCAAGAAGGGGAAAGAAATTGTTGGTACTGACAGTTTTGAAGGTTCAATATCACTTGCAATCAATTTCATTTTTTGTTCAATGTTTCTTTTTAAATGTCTTCTTATTTCATATTTTATACTCGTTTTTTATCAGCAAAAAATTTCATGGAAATATTTCAATTTTAGAAAATTATGTTGCTTGAAAAAGAATAGATGAAATGAATGACATGTTTTTCTAAGTAAAAAAATTAAAATTTAATTTCTCCTAAAGTTTGAAAGAATGTTTCTTCTTTTTAAGATTTTATTAATAAACTTTTGGATTAGAACACAATTAATTAAAGTTTATACAAAAAGAGCTGACTTAAAATGTAATAAAATTCAAATTAATGTTATACAAAAAGAGCTGAATTAAAATGTAATAAAATTCAAATTAATGTTAAATTTAGTTTAGTTAGTTGGCATGTTAAAATGTCATAAAATATTAAAAAAAATATTAAATTTAGTTTAGTATGCTGGCTTGTTAAAATAAAATGAAAACAGATGATACCACCTCCAAAAATCATGATGATCTGAGCCTGGCAGCTAATTTCTTCTCTGATTTAGCCCAATTGTGAATAAATTGGCTTGCAACATTCAGTACCTTCAAAACCAATATATTAGCCAAGCAGACCCTGAATTTTCTCCAGCCATGTTAAATGGTCATACTTTCAATGAGACTTCTTGCTTTGAACGCCTATTGGGACACAACTTCTTAAATGGAACTTGTATATTATGATCCATCATTAAAAATGATGGACAGAATGGTTGGTTCTTGTTGTTAAGTACCTGACTCGGTCTGCTATGCTTTATCTTTACAAAAGTTAAATGAAGCAAAAAAGGTGTATTGCTGCCATATTTTGTCTAGACCTGCCCAAACCTTACTTACCAGACTTGACAGAGTTCAAAAGCATTTACACAGCCTTGTGGGAGATGAATTGACAAACTTGGACCTTCATGCCAGCAAAATTAGGAACTGTCATGACATGTACAAAGTGTTGAACCATCCTTATTCCCTTCATTTTATTTGGTAAGAAGGAAGTTCCACTCAGACAACTTCTTCTCAAGAACAGCTACTTTGTGGAACAGACTCCCACGAGGATGCTTCCCTGATCACTTCAACATCCTCAAAGCTCTTGCATCAGAAGCATGTAACAAACTTGACAAGATTTGGTGATTGAATCTTTCATCTTCCTTAAAAGTTCAAACTTTGGGAACACTGACTGAACCAGTCCTATCGTATGGATCAGAAACTTGGATATTATCTGTTCATCATGAAAGATGACTGGATCTACAGAGAACTGAGACCAATCTCTCTTAAGCTCAAGCAAAAACAGCAACAGTTTGCCAGCCACTGCCACTGAGCGGCCAGGGATGTCATCTCATCCTTACTCCTCTGACATCCTTTTGGAAGTGTCTTCTCACAAAAATTGACTTTCCCAGACACCGTAGCTCAGGCCTCAGGGTTGGACATTGGAAATCTGGGAACAGCAATACAGAATTGAACATTGCAGAAAGGGATTGTCAATGAAGTTTTGACCAACCATAAGGAGATCAAAAGATGATGATCTTTCCCTGAACACAACAATCTTAACTTCCTCAAATCAAAAATCAATCATTATACTCCTTATCCTCGTAATCTTCACTTCCTACCATCTCTACTTTCAATCACACATCTAATTCATCATTACCATTTTAACCTTCTACTTTGAGTAGCCCTTAAGTCTTGTATTGGGTGAATTATTGTATTAAAAAGTATTAAGAAAAATTTTTAATTATCTTTTTAACTCTCAGACTAAATTGATCTATGTCTTTTTGACTTTGTCAACCTATCTATTGTTTACCAAAATGATAGAATTCAATATGAAATAATCTTGAAGAAGGTTGACAAACCATAAAGCAAAATAAACCAAATCAGTTTACCTAACAGTACCCCGAATCACCACTGATGAAAAGGCATTGCAGTGAGGGGATGCTTTCACATACCTTCAACACCTTAAAAGCAATGACAACAGTACTCAAAAAAACACCAAAATTTATCTTAACAAAATATATGCTTTTAAACCTTCATGTGAATCATGAGATGTTTGAAAACCCCACAAAATATTTTTCCTTAATATTTAGTAACAAATGATTTTTTTATGATTAATCAAGTAGTTTTCTGAATATCCCTGTCAAATAAAAAGAAGTTTATTTTAGCCATATGAATTACAAGCAGTTTTATTTTTTTTATGGAAAATAAAACCTATTTTTGCATATTTGAATTTTTGAAACTTACAAATTTAGTTTTTAATATTGGCCTGTTAATTCAGTTTTCCAAATAAAACTATTTGTTTATTTTTCATTTTTATTTATCCTATAAAAACCAGAAAGTACTCTCAAGACGGTATACTACAAGAAAATTAAGGATCAAATAATATATCGATAATATTTTAAGTGAAAACCTCAAGGTGCTAGTACTTGGGTACTAGTACCTGGACAATACTCCTACAATATTAGAGGGTTAAAAAAAGTCTGTAATATCTAGAAGGCAAAGCAGACTCAGAATTAAGTTCCAAATTTACAGCAGCAATTTCAATACTGGATGAATGTTAGAGAGTCACAATAGAAAAATCGGCTTCCGCAATAACTGCCAACAAAAGATCTGTAATATTTATTAGCCTAACAAGAAGAACTATATAAGAGGACAGACAGTAGGAATATGTCCCATGAGATTAAGCAATGTAGAATGCCCAATGTAAGAATGTATAAAGTTGCCATGAAGTAAACTCCAAACTGAGAAGAGAATAAGGAAAAGCCAAAAACCACATGGCAGATGACAGTGACAACAGGACTGAAAGAGATGGCACTCTCATGGGGTGAAGCATAAGCTAAATAACAAAACAGGATTTAGTGGAATGGTATAAATATTGTCTTATGCCCCCATTGAATTGAAGAGAAAAACACAACTCTTTAAATTTGAATAATTCACTAAGGGAACAGATTTTTCTCTGCCTTGAATTTTTCTTCTTTTTCTTCTTCTATATGCTGTATCCCTTCATGACAGGGCGATCATGACTCTCCACAGCTTCCTCTCCTTTGTAGCTCTTTGTAAAGTTTGTCTTCTTATTATCTTTCTAAAAGGTTAGGTCAGTTACTCACTGCTTTCCAGTCAGGACTTTTTTTTAAAAATTAAAAGAAATTAAAAAATAAAAACATAGAAAGGGGGTGTAAAGTAAGGATGTGTCTTCACCCTAGACTTATTCAAACTTTACAGTGAGGAAATCCTGAGAAAGTTAGAAGTCTTACAAGGATTCATTATTGTCAGCCACAATCTTAACAATATTAGATATGCAGGTGACACAATGTTGATAGTTAACACAGAAATGAAACCACAGGAACTTCAACAGTAAGGTAGTAAAGGGAAGCAAAGAGAAAGAACTAAACATCAATTGTAAGAAAATTCCCTTGTCTTCAGTATGTTCTGTGAGTGTCAAATTCTCCAAGCCCCCTTTCCTCATTATGTGCCATAGAAATTTCAGTTATCTCTTTCTGAGTCTTTTTGTTTTCATTTTCCTTAAAACTTACTCATTACTCATATCATTCTGTAGAACCACATTTCTATTGTCTCAAGTCTCTTCATTTGTGATGGCTTCGTCCAGCATTCATTGGTATATAGGAGGACCAATATTACATAACAATTCAGCACTCTTTTCTTTGTTTCTAACATTTTCCTGTTTCTTCATACTTTGCTTAGGTTTTAGCAGACATCTTTTGCTATTCTAATAAGCTTTCTGATTTCATTATCACATTAAAATATTATCTAGATATTTAAATTTTTGTACTTGCTCGATTTTAGTGTCACCAATTTGTAGTTTATATCTTGGGGCTTTTCTTTTTGCTGACAACCATAAATTCTCTTTTCTTACAATTGATGTTTAGTTCTTTCTCTTTGCTTCCCTTTATTATCTTATGTAGAAGTTCCTGTAGTTTAATTTCTGTGATGACTATCTTTGTAAAAACTATGAATTCTAAAAGCACCCTGATGAGGGTTGTGCTCCATCAGGCTATCTTGCTCTAAGCACACAGCTGCTCTACGGCTGCAGCAGATGAGGTGCATGTATGATCTTAATGGATTACAGCACACACACACACACACACACACACACACACACACACACACACACACACACACACACACACTATACATATAAAGTTGTTAATTCCCCTCTGGTGTATAAGGCCAAGGACTCACCATACTAGGTCCATACTGTTCTGATTTGTGTAGTAAGTAGATTTTTTATCAGGTGGAGTTTGAACTCAGGTTTGTCATTCTCCTAGAATGGTTTCCAACCAAAGTTAACAAGTAAAGACTTTCCTGATATTACCCAATAGCTGGGTGGAGAGATGGGTTCATACATTTACAAGGGTACTTGTGCAAATGCAAATTCAATTGATTTGCCTGAAATTTGAACTCATCATGACCATCCCAATCTCCATTCCAATAATCCCTCTGGCACACATTCATCCAGATATGCTTATACAATATATGTAGTAATTTACTCTTTTTTTGTCTATAGTTAGACAGTTATACCTAAGTGTATACCATCAGGTTCACACACCTCTCCAGTCTTTTGAACAGAAGTAGAGGATTATCCCTTGTTTCCTGTTTAAGACTGGGTTTCTGATTCTCTGAAATGTTATTCACTAATTAAATCTTGACTTTTTCAAGTCGAGAGTTAGCTGTTATCTTTCCTGCATAGGCCCTTCACTTCTAACTCTTTCTTATGTTAATGCAATACCCCATAGTAACCTTCTACCTTGGGTGGCTCTTGGACCTTGTATTTGATGAGCATTAGTGAAAAATATGTAAACCATGTAGACACCCCATGTGGAGTATAGGGCCACACCTTTACTATGTTCAGTGTTGCTGCACTGGTTTCCGTAGTAAGTAGCTTTTTAAAAAATGGAGGTGCTACCACTACATCCAACCAGTTTTGAGTTCAGAATTATTCTTCTCCTTAACTGATTGCCAAACAAAGCTAAGGTGTCCAATCTGCTCTTCTGTTAACTCCTAGCTGGAGAAAGAAGAGATATTTTTGTAGCTTTCCAAATGTTATTAGTATCAAAGGAATACAATGGCCTCAGTTGGGATTTGAACTTGGCATGCCAATCTCATTCTCTTCACTGATAAGCACTGCCCTACGTGCACATCCACACTATACACAGTACAGTGCCATTTAATGTAATTTAACAAAACACTTTATTCAAGAAAAGGGCACACAGGAGGTCAATATCAAGAGGAGCCTTATTAAAACTAAGCCTAAGGTAGTAGATAATCCATCAGAATGCCAGTCCTCTGATATGGCAGTGAATGCTGGACAATTTCCTCACAGGTGAAAAAGAGACTTGAAGCAGCAGAAATGTGGTTCTACAGCAGGATGCTGAGAATACCATGAACTGAACAGGTGAGAAATGACAAAGTTTTAGATAAAATGGAAAACAAAAAGAACACTTATAATTAATATCAGAAAGAGATAGTTGAAATTTCTCACGCACATAATGAGGAAAAAGAGCTTGAAAAATTTGACACTCACAGGACAGAATGAAGGAGAGAAGGACAGAGGAAAACAGTGAATAACCTACCTAGCAAGCTGATGCAAATACATAGTAGAACAGGTTTTAGGAGAGGTAGAAAAAAGACAAAACTTACTAAAAGCTACAACCAACAGGAAATTGTAGAGAGGTATGACTGCCCTGTCCTGAGGGGACATAGCACATAGAAGAAGAACTAACATAAAATTTATGTTATAGTTTTTCATCTTCATTTAATTCTGATTAATAAGAATTTTAGAGACTTCTTGGCTTATAGCTATACAATGAGCTTACCTTGTACAAGGCTCAAAAGCCACTCAACATAGAGGGTTACAATGTAAGAAGTAAGAGTCACAGTTTATGGGGATATGTAGGGAAGATAACAGTTAACCCTAGACTTGATCAGTTTAAGATTGTAGTGATTAGAAAAGCACCCTCTTGTTATTTCTACAAAGTAGCAATTTGTGTGGAACTGACATTTCACCAATGGAATACAAAGGAAATGAGGGTGAATTGCTACAATGTTCATGGCATGGTGGGTCTTAGTCATGAAGGTTAGAATAGGTGGAACTAAGGAATATAGTTTGTCTGAAGACTTTCCATGAAAATAGTGATAGATGATTGAAAATTGATGGTCTGCAGGCACATGACTCTTTTGACTATGAAGCAAGCTACAAAGGAGCATGTGCATCTTTGGTTGTGAATTTCAGATGATAAAACTATTTATTTCTTTTCTTCATTAACATCTGAAAAAAAGACATCTAGAAAAAATTAAATTAAATTGACACACAATTAAATTCATTGGGAGCAACCTAGAATTGATCGAGTTCTTTGCTGGAAAATTTTATTAGCACTTGGGAAATTGAACAGAATCATATTAGGGTCTATCTTAAATTTAGTTAATGCTTTGACCTCCAAGCTTATGGAATTTCTAATGTTTATCTCGAGTGTGCATCAGACAGAAATGACTGAAATCTTATTTCTAGCTCTTTGATTAAAAATATGATTAGAATTAGGGACAAACTAATGTTAATTTATTATTTATCTCATACGTTTTTTTTAATAATTTTCTGTTTTACTTCATGTTACAATTGTTGTTTTCTCTCTCAACACTCTAGGTCGATACAACCTTAATTCTAAAGAAATGAATTGAAAATCAGGATGAAAGGGAGTTAGTATTTATTGATTTGTTTTCTACAGCTTATCAATCTATTGCAGGTTATTTAAAGCCAGAAAATATTTTTAGACTGTAAGAATTTTTTTTTTGGTGATAATATTGATTTAGCGATACAGATCTTTCTAATTAACCCATAGCTGGTGGGAAAAGAGGTGGATTAATACCTTTCCCAAGGGTATCTTTGTGTAAATGAATATAACAAACCCAACTGGAGTTCAAACTCATCTTAACAATTCAGAGCTGTTATTCATTACACAACCTGCACATCCAAGTTTACAGCACCTAGTATTCACAAGCAGTCACCCATTTAGATACCAACCAGGCTTGATGTTGCTTAACTTCAGTGATCATCTGGGAACTGGTGTTTCAATGGGATATGGATGCAAACCAGATAGTTAATAGTAAGGAATTAATATAAAAAATGACTGGCAAAATATGATTTTCATATCTATAATTTAAATTTAATGCTACTGATTTTACTATAGAAATAGAATGGAAAATCAGAAAAACTAATGCAAGTGTTATTAACAGAGCAGGGCTATTATACTCAAATGCATATTCTACATTAATTGTAATTTATTTAACTATAGAAATGCATTGGAAATAAAAAGAAATGAAATATCAATGGTCAGAACTCAATGTGATTATAAGTGGCAGATAGATGGGCTCATTATATTTACAATAAAAATTTTTCTTTTTTCATGTGGGGAATAGAGATTTTTCTTATTATAAAGCAACAATCAATGGAAATAGCCACCATGTATGCCAAATTTGCATAAAAAGGTTTTAATAAAAGGAACAATACAAAATCTTTTCATATTGGAAAAAAGCCATTGAAAATTTTTTCTTAAATAAAAAAAAACAGATGGAAATGATCATGTTTTTAAAACATTCAAATTAGAGCCTTTGTTCATGTGAAACATTTTCATTTAGTGGTATTGTGCTGTTGTATACACACCATTTTTCGAATTTTGTTGCTTGTTTATTATGTCAATCATTATTAGAAAAGTGATTTTTAATTCTACAAAAATAAAGTCAAACATTTTAAGCATTTTTCATAATTAAAGGGAATCAGCTTTTACTTGATAGGATTTTTTTTCAGATTTCAATCATGAATTTATTTATTTTGATACTTTTATATCTGTCTAAAGTTGTCTGTTCATATCTATCTCTCAGTCTGTTTATATCTATCTATCTATCTATCTATCTAATCCATCTATATTCTCAGTCTGTTCATCTATCTATCTTTTTTTAAATTTATTTTCGCAATCATTTCACCCCAAAGAAGATGATAAAACCACTAATTTGATAATGGATAAAAGAACAACCAAAAGAGTTTGAACATTCAGACAATTTCTACATAATTTATGTCCAGAAAAGAAAAAAGTTATAAGAACACAAGAAAAATTAAATAAAAACTTAACACAGTAACTTATCAGTTGTTTTTAATGAAACTTGTTCTTTTTTTATGAGCGGGAACAAAAAGAGTCATCAGGAGGATAGTAGATAGTGTTTGACACTGCATTTAAATTTTTGCAGATTAAATTTGGCTGGAAAGCATGGAGCTGGAAGGGAATTCAACAATTGAGGAGTGCGAGAAAAGAAACTGTCAGTATAGAATTTATGGTTACATCTAGCCAGCTCAACTGTATATTCATGAAATCTCAACAACAGTCTAGTTTTGTGTTTAAATTCAAAAAGTCTAGGTACCATAGCTCATCTGAACAATTACCATGAAAGTAATTATAGAAAAGGCACAGAGAAGCAACCTTATGGCAGTAAGAAAGTGACAAGCCTAGCTACCAGATCAGGCCCAATAATATTGCTGATTTTTCTTTGGATTTTATCAAGGAGCTCAAGGTAAATATCAGGGGCACTAAACCATACATGGCAGCAATATTCTAATATATATATATATATATATATATATATATATATAATGATATCAATAGAGAGGAAACCAGAAGATAACTTAATGTTAATGGTGGATGTTGTTTGTTTATCTAAAAATGAACCAATCAAAAATGAGGAGATGAATGAATGAATGAATGAATGAAGTGTCCTTAAGAGGAAAACACCAAATAACATAGTGAACAAGTTTGGACAAATGGAATAAACCTCAAAGGCAAATATGATCATAAAAATGAAAGCTTTGATTAGAGTAACAAAATGACAGGAAGCTGGGGAGAATTTTAATCGCCCACATGATGAAAGATGCACAAAGAAAGAGAAAGAGAAGGTAAAAGAGATTATTATGTAAATATTTGATGAACAGCTCCAAAACACAAAGCTGTAGACTGCAGATATAACAGATATGCTATTGCAATAACACAGATTCCATCTTTCTGATGTCCCCATCTGACACCACCTCTCCCACTAACCAACAGCATCATAATGTATGCTCATTTAATGTCCTTTCTTCACCCTTATTGGTCTAGAGTTGTATTCTCATCATTATGAACATCATTATTTATGGTAGGATATTACTAATAAAAAATATCAGGGTTTTTACTTCTTCTGAAGATCAAAAGTATCTGTGTTATCATTCCTTGCTACTAGAATCCTAGAATCAGAATGTAGTATCTGTGGAATTATCATCATCATCATCATCATCATCATAATCAACATCATCATCAATCCCATATATGGTCACTGAACTTCACCAGTGCCCTCCACACAGGTCAAACTACAGACGATGTCTACCAACCTGAAGGCTCACAGGTTCACCTTGGTCACAGACACGTGGCCAGTGATTTCATCAAGGGTACCCTCTACCTTGGCCATTGACTTCAGTCTCAGAAGCTCTCCACCCAGTGATGATGTATCATCATCTCACAGGCTATGGAGCCTAGTATATTCCCATCGTGCAAGGTGGTCAATGACTTTAAAAGAAGGTTTGTCAGCCCTTTGAAAGGTTTTTAATCTAGTGAGGCATCTAGCCACCCTTCTCACCAGAAAAGTCTGATGGGGGAACCAGTTTAGTCACTGATAACTTGAATATGCAGCAAATAGTACTGGATTAGATGGGATGGTACCAGCAGCACTCGTAGAGTGACCTGACATTTTTTTGCACAAGGCCCAGAGGTCACTTGTGGTAGATTACATTTAGGGGTAGTTTATATGGATAGGAGGGGAAGATAATGGTTAACTCTAGCATTGAACAGGTTAAGATGGTGGTGATTGGGGAAATATCCTCTTGGGAGTCTGTCCCACATAGCAGTGGTCCATGGGAAGAAATTGTTTGAATGGTACTTACTTCTCGTTGATGGAATACGGAGGGAATATGGGTGGTTTGGTACTATATAAGTGGCATGGTGGGTCTTAGCTGTAAAGGCTAGACCTGGTGGAACCAAGGAATGTAGTTTGTCTGAGCAATTTCCATGGTAGTGGTGATAGAGCAGTGAGAGACATACCATATCTCACCTGTGAGAGCGAGTTTGGAGAGTGGAAATTAATTCTTCCCAACAAAGACTCAAAGACACTTTTGAACTCTATCAGGACTGAAAAGTGAGGACTGGGTAGCTCTCACCCAAATATGCCAACAATACTTCATTTTTGGTCTGATCTGGCTCTTATAATGGCAGAGTATAGTATAAGGAGTAAGGATCTTCCTGGAGCTGTACAGGGAGCTGATCATTTTACCTGCATCTTTAGTGATGGATTGTATATAAGAATTCCACATGAGGTCAGGTGTAAGTCTGTGGGCTAATATTCTCTCTTGCCATTTTTTCCCCCACTGGGAAGTTAGTGTTAGATCAGAAGAGAGGTCAGCTGCCAATCTCTGATCATCAAGAGTTTTAGAGGTATGGCCATATCATCAGCATAGATGTTTACAAATGAGTATATTCTTAGGCAGATCATTTACATAAATCAGAAAGAGTGTTGGTTTGAGAAGTGACCCCTGGAGAACACCTGCGTTGACTCTCAGGGTCTTAGAGGATTGGCTGTTAATAACTACCTTCAAGGACATACCTGTTAGGAAGGATTTTATAAATAAGAAAACCCTTCCAGTGATTTCATAGCTGGAGAGCTTGTGTAGCAAACCTTTGGACCATACCTTGTCGAAAGCCTTTGAGATATCTACTGCTATGGTCCTCACAGTGTGTGCATCATTGAAACCCATACTGCTCATCACACAAGAAGTTGCTTCTGTCTAGGTGCTTGATGATTTTCTTGTTGAAAGCTTAAAAAAAAATGCTTACTGATGATACTGAGGAAACTAATGGGTCTATACTGGGGAGGGGTGGATTGATTTTCCACATTTTTGAAGACCGGTCATATGCTTGCCTCCTTTCACAGGCTTTGGAAAGATTTCTCTTCAAGCAGTGGTTAAATAACTTTGCTAAGATTGGAGTTGATATTCTAAAGATGACCACTGGAATTTTGTCTGTGCCAGAGGCTTTTGATAAGTTTAGAGACTTCTCTAACTGAAATGAGTATATTACTGAGATTGTGCTCAGTGAGATATGGGAAGTTGAGGAGGGGATGGCCTTTGTCACCTAAGGTTGAGTTTGAGGCAAAGATTGAGGCAAAGAGCTTCACCTTGTCTGTTGAGGATGATATGACTTTAGGGCCACTTATAATCATGGGCACAGACGCTTTGCCTCTGTTCATAATTTGGTTGGTGATCTTCCAGAATTCGCAAGATTCAATTTGTTTATTTTCAACCTTGGACTGGACAGCTTGAACATAGCTGCACTTGGCATTTATCAGAACTCTCTTACAGTGATCATGGACAGTTCTGTAAGAATTAAGGGCCAGAATACACCACTTCTTGCAATAGATATTGAAGTAGTGGTTCCAGTGAGCTATGGTTGCAGCACATTCAGGGATGAATCAAAGCTGACTGTTTGGTTTCTGCTGGAAATTTTTTATGCGTATAAAACACTCCATTCCAGAAAGGATCTATTTGAAGATTAGGACAAAAGTTTTTGGGCAGCATATTTGAAGAAGGTTAAGAGAGGAACTTTCATCGTATAGGACCAAAAGCTGTCCAAGTCTGCCTTCACATAGTAAAAAACTGTTCTATGGAATGGTAAATCAGGAGATGTCATTGGTTTGGAATCAGTCTGCACACTGACTATGCTTGAGTGGGGGTGGGTAAAACTTTTGCTGAGCATTTCTCAGGGCAAGATGTTAGAAAAAGGTCAAGGAGGTTCACTTGCTGTCTCGTCACATCCAGTACTTGGGTGGGTTCTTCAATGATCTGGGTTAGTTCATAGGTGATGAAGAAGTCTCAGCAATATCTGCCTTCCACAATGGTTTTGTTCTAGTGGACTAACCACTCTTTGTGGTAAACATTGAAGTTAACACATATGTGAAATTAGCCAAGGGAAAATTCGGTGAGGATATTGTCAATCCTCTTTGATATTTGATCAAAGATTACCGATCACTTCGTCCTGAGGGTGATACAGAGCAAAGATGAATATGGTACTATGGATAAGTGCCACACAGAAGCACATATACGTGAGATCAGGGTCCTGCTTTTTTGTGACCCTGTCACAGGGAAACCCATCCTAGGAACTGTGTCTGTGGCCATGGCAATCAAGAGGAGCAAATCTGAACAATTACCATGAAAGTATTTATAGAAAAGGCAGAAGGAGGCAACTTTATGGTGGTGGGAAATATAAAGTATATTTTCTCATATCATTTATATATTATTGATTCGAATAAGTTTTATTAAATTCAACTGACAATCTCTGTCTAATTTTTTAATGTAGCTTTCCAATTTTTTAATAAGATGTTGTACATCAAGATCAAAATTGTGGATACACTGTACAAAGTTAATGTTTTGCTCCTCTTATGAAAAGAGCCAAAATCTTTTGACAGTATTGTACATTGGTTCATCTCATTCAGTTTCCCATTTGGTTGAGTTGTGCATCTAGTGACTTCAAATGTCAGAAATTTTCAAATTTTGCATTCCTACATCTTCAGCATTTCCACTTGATGTATAATTATATCTGACATTCACATTTATATCACATACTTCCCCTATACATACATATATATGCGTGTGTTTGTGTGTAATTCCATCAATAAGAACATTACTTTAATCTGATGAAATCTTTATAAAGGATGAAATGTGTTACACAGAAATTTTTTTCTACTTTGTCATTCAATTATCTAACATAGAGAAATTTATATATCATTTTCTTGCAGGTATGCTATTATATATATATATATAGGTAGATAAGATGGCTATAAGAGGGTTATGGAGAGCTTTGAAAGAAGGATTCATGCCCTTCCAGAGAGCATTCATGCAGTGAACACAAGTAGCCACATCACATTGAAACACTGGTTCCTGTACAATCACCAAAGTTAAGCAACATCAAGCCTGGTCATTACCTAGATGGGTGACCACTTGGGAATACCAGATGCTGTAAGCTTGGATATGCAAGTGGTGTAATGGATAATGACTCAGAAATGTTAATCAGAGGGCAAGTTTCAATTTCTGTTAAGTTTGTTATATTCACATACCCTTGGGAAAGGTATGAATCTACCTCTTCTCCCCTAGCTATGGGTTAATTAGTAAAACTTGAAAACCATTATTATCTCAAAAAAATGAAAAAAGTCCACTTAAATTCAATGTTTCTTGATACCACTTTTTGTACTGGTGACCATTATATAATATATGTTCAGAAGAAAGAGAACTGAGGAAAGTGGATTCATGACTTTGCCAATGTTATTAGTGCTAAGTGAACATAAACAGTCTCTACTGATATTGATAGTCTAGTTACAAATTTTGTTTTCTGTGCTGACAGCCTGGATGTTATTTCACAGCTCGATGTGTATAAAATGAGTAATTAACAAAAATGCAAACTAAAAACAAAGAACTAATTTGAATAAAATCAATTTGAATAAAATTAATTTGAATCCATTGATTAGAAAAATAGAAAAATTTCTGTGCTTAATTAAAAAAAAGTTTCTGATTAAATGGAACCACTCCTTACAGCAAATGTTGTTGCCCTTATTTAACTCATTTTAGAGCAGTATCCTCATCATTGTTGTTTTTATTACAATGTTTTAGTTTGTTTTTTTTTAAACATTTCACCCCAAGCAAAGCAATAAAGCCACTAAGATGCAAGGGGATACTGAGTGTAAGAAAATATGAGAAAAAAACACTATTAAAAAGAAAGAATATATGAAGAAGAATTAAGACATAGCTAACAATAATGGTAAAAGCATGAAGGTACCTTGTCACAGTAAAATAATTAGCAAGATAATCTTGTAGGTATTTATTAGTGAGTAGTAAGTTCAGTCCTCACTGGATGCTCTATTTACAAATCATAGTTTAGTTTGGGTTTTGTGCATCAATAAAATATTTTATCATTGGCAAGCCATGATACTTGATGGCAATTATTAGTAGTTATTCTGTTCAATCCTCACTGAGTGCCCTATTTATGAAGTGTAATTTATTTGGGGCTTTGTGCCTCAATAAAAAGCTTTATCATAAGCAGGCCACAATACAGGATGGTAATTACATTAGAAGCTAAAAAACGAGTACTGAACTGTTATGCAATATTAGCACTCCTATATGGCAGTGAATTTTTTTTTAATTATTTGACCCAAAGCATGGCAATGAAGCCACTAAGACACAAGAGGTTACTGAGTGTTAGAAAATAACATGAGAAAAAGAAAACATTATTAAGGAGAAAGTAAATTAAAGAACAGAATTAAGTAAACATTAGATAATGATTGATATTGCATTTAAATTGTTGAAGATCAAAATTGACTGGAAAGCTGGGAGAGAATTCCACAAGCAAGAAATGTGAAACTGTTATCACAGAAGTTAGAGTTACAACGAACCAATTCAACTGTAAATTGATGAAAACTTGTTGCCAATCTGGTGTTGTTCTTAAATTCATAAAGTCTAGGTACCACAGCAGAAAAAAATCCCTCAGAACAATTACCATGAAAGTATTTATAGAAAAGGTACAGGAAAGGTAAATTACAGAAGTGAGAAAGTGACTGAAGCCAAAACACCAGGTCAGAAACAATAATATTTAAAAGTATATTTTAAAAGTTCATTTTAAAATAAGCTACTGAAATTAAGATGAAAGAACATAATTTTTTTCAAATAAGCAACTTTATTGACCAGTACTTGAGTTGCTTTATTTTAGTGCAAGAATTTGTATGAAAATTAGTTGCTTAAATGGTTGCTTAAATTTTTTATACTCAGGTCTAATAAACAGAAAAGAAAGACATTTTAATGGAAGTAAACTAGAATTATTTGAACTCTTTTGTACAATATAAAGTAACATATTTAAATCAGACCAAAAATGATGTATTGCTGGGATGAAGCTGCACAGACTTGCTTGTCTTAATACAATTCAAAATCATCTATACATCCTTGTGGGTGATGAATTATTTTCCACTCTGTAACACCTTTTCCACAGATGAAACATTGCAAGCCTCTCACTACTCTATTGGTTTTGCCATGGTAGGTGTTCTGACAAGCTATGTTCTTGATTTCACCAGTCCTGAGCTTTACAACTGGGACATTCCATGCCACATACACAAAGGCAAATCCATTAGTAAGAAGTAAGTTCTACTCAGACGGCTTTTTCCCAAGAACTGCTGCTTTGTGGAACAGACTTCTGGCAGGATGTTTTCCCAATCACTACAATTCTAACCACTTCAAGTCTAACCATTATCTTTCCTACATAACCTCATGGACTGCACTTCTTGCCTTTTCTTATGTTCATACACCACACAGTAACACTCTACCCTGAGTGGCTCTTGAGTCTTGTATGAGGTGAATATTAGTAAAATAAAAATGTTTTTGCTGAATTTTTTCTTTTCTTTTTTCGTTTTTGAGTTGCTTAAGCTGCACTGACATCAATAGCAGAATTGCTGAAGATATAACCAAATTTGAGTCCAGATGCTTATTAAAAGAATTGTGTACTAGTCAAAAATGAATAATACTAACTAAAAAAATATTTCATCTAAAGAATTCAAATAATATTTTATTTTTATTGCATTTTGTAATCATCTTAGTTTTACCTGAGATATCTGCAGTTATTTGCTGAGATATTTCAGTTTTACCTGATATATCTGCAGTTTATTCCATTTTGTAATTGTTGTAACCTAGAAAGGGTTACTGAATGAGGAATAACCAAAACAGAGGTCGGAAATGAAATGGTATCTACAGTTTGTTGCATTTTGTAATCATCTTAGTTTTATCTGAGATATCTGCAGTGATAAAAAGATATCTCTGTGTCTCTGGAAAACTCCTTTTTTTATTTTGTTAGGTTTTTGAAAGCAGAGATGATTCCAAGATGGTGGTGAAGATAATGAAGAGTATTTGCAACAAATTAAAATGAACTTTAATAAATATTTTGAATTTAATTTCACCATCTTTTTATTGCGCGTTGATTGCAGTTAACTTTTTTTTTCTTCGGGTGAAAGAAATGCTCATCAAAAATTGATTATGCTTCACCTCAGAAATTTTAATAATATATTAATATTTAATAAACTTTTATAAATCCTAATCTCATTTTGCTGAAATCATTACTTATTTGTGTTATTATTTTTGTTTTGTCATGAAAGACTCAAAACAGGTGTATGTCCATATTTTATCTGGTACTAAATATTTTCAAGATTGTAATAAAAATTGACTATTAAGCGATTAATATCCACCAAACCATTTTTGGAACACTGAACATTAATTAGTTATGGTCAGTGATATGTCCCGGAAAGGGATATATTTGAACGAAGTAGCTAAGTGGTTTTGGCTACTATAACCAAGTAGAATACGGTAGCAGTAATCGACTGGTACGCATCGTAGTTGCGCAGTTCAATGGCCGTCATTATAGACTTAGCTCTCAGACTAAGGCTTTGACTCTCCTACATGTCCATCGGTATTTATGACAGACACCAGCCAATCATATTCCAGTGAGGAGGAAGACAGGTGTACGCATATTCCATTATATTAGTCAGAAATCTATAATTAATACTGGATTTTTATAAACATTAATACATGAATTCTTTCCGGCTGTTCAGTCAATGAATGCTGAATGTTTCCTTATAAGGTAATGGCTAATATTACCATTACTATAATATAGATTTTTTTTGGCAAACCTATAATTAATACTTGATTTTAGAGTGCTGAACTACTGTGTAATATCATTCCTTCTATTTGGCTGTGAATGCTGGACAATTTCTTAGAGAAATGAAGTAAAAAACTAAAGCTTAGTGAGTGAAGAAATAAATTACCAAAAAGAAACTTAAAAAAGAAAAATGGATGCCAAATAAAGATTGAATGAGCATAATGAAAAGAGAGATGAGAAACACAGCCAAAATTAATGGAAATGAAAGAAAAGAAAAGAGTAAATTTAAAAATATTTGTAGAGGAAACTTTAAGAGAATATAGATGTTGAGAATACTATGAACAGAACATATGAGTAATGAAGTCTTAAGGAAAAATTAAACAAAATTGACATTTTTACTTAGAATTGGAAAGAGACATTTGAAAATTCTGGATAGTATAATGATGAAAGTGAGCTTGGAGAATTTGACACTCAAAAGGCATATTGAAGGAAAGCTTTTGATTGATTTGTTTTCTATATTTTATCAGCTCTTTGCAGCTTATTTAAAGCCAGAAAATATTTTTAGATTGTAAGAATTTTTTTTTTAGATAATAATAATTTTGTAATACTAGTCTTAACTAACTTACCGAAAGCTGAGGAATAAGAGATGGATTCATAATTTTCCCAAGAGTATGTGTCCATAAATGAATATAACAAACCCAACTGGTATTGGAACCTGGCTCTATAATTAACAATTCCGAATGGTTACCAATCTAGGTACTGAGCAGGCTCAACATTGCTTAACTTCAGTAATCATATGGGAACTGGTGTTTCAACGTGATATGGCCATAAAACTTTTAGGAAAGAGGAACAGAAATAAACAGCAAGTAATATACCTAACAAGTTTATGGATGACAGAACAGGGACTGGGTGGAATAGTAAGGAGACAAACCTTGCTAAGTGCTACATATGATAAGAAGCTGTGGAGTGCCATGAACATCTATCTTCTTAAGGGACATTGCATAAAAAAGGATAATAACAGATTTTTATTTTTATTTTTATAATACCAGATGTCATGGCAGGCCTTAATGGCTTAAATAATAATGCTGGCCATTTTGATACTTCCACCTTTTCTACACTGTCCTATACACACTGTTGACGTTTCACTGATTAAAAGTGCTTCACATCTAACAGAAAAGGTTGCGGATGTCTCTGCTTTAAGAAGGCATTGATGGGAATGCTCTGTACAATGAGTCATCCCTGAAATTTCTGCGTTATTACATTAATCATTTTTTTCATGTTCATGTCCAGACCTTTTTTATTCTCTTCTCATTTTCCATTTTCTCTCTGTTTTTATTATTTTTTTCTTGTTCCTTCATATTTTTCTTTTTTACCTTAAGGTTTGTCCATCTCTTTCTTTCATTTTCCCTTCTCTGTTATTTATTTCTCTATTTTACTCCCTTATCACCATCTTTCTCTCATTTATTGTCTTCTCACTTTCCTTCTTTTGTTTTTCCTCTCTTTCTTTCTTTCATTTTTTTTCTCTCTTTCCTTGCTTTGTTGTTCTCTTCTCACTGTTTCTTACTCATTTTTCTTTCTTTCATTCAATTTTCTTTCTCTTTCTTCAATTTCCCATTTTCTCTCATTCATTGTTTTTACTCTTTCCTTTATTTATCTTTTCTTCCCAATGATTCTCTATTGATTCTTCATTTTCCTTCTCTTCATTTACCAGATTTTTTTCCTCCTTTCTTTTTTATTTTATTTTGCTGTCTTTCATTTTCCTCTTTCTTTTATTCCTTATTTTTTCTCTCTTCATTTTCATCTTTCTTTCATTTTCCATCTTCATTCTTTATCTTGTTCATTTTCTTTCATTTGTTTCTTTTCCTGCATTTTTCTATTTCTTTCCTTCATTAATCATCTGTCTATTTTTCATTTGTTCCCTTCTTTATTTCTTTCTCTTGCCTTCATTTTTTCACTCATCTTCTTTTTCTTCTTTCTTTCATCCAATTTCTCCTCTCTTTCACATTAATTTTATGCTTTCGCAATCAGTATCCTGTTTTTTTTTCTTAATTTTTCTCAACTTTCCTTCAATTTTTTTTTTCCTGTTTTTTTCTTAATTTTTCTCAACTTTCCTTCAATTTCTTTCCCTTCACCCTGTTTATACCAGTTATTTATTTTTCTTTCCTTCATTTTTCATTCTCTTTATCCACCTTTCTCTATTTTTCTCTCTATTCTTCTTTCTTTTCAAAATTTTTCTCTTTCTTTTTTCCTTTGTGCCCTTCACTTTCTTTCCTTTCATTCCACTCCTATATTTGTTTCCTTTTTTTAAGCTCTTTCTAATCCTTGATTTTCCACTCACTTTTCTTTCTTTCTTTCTCTCTTTCTTTCATTTTTCTTTCTTCTATTCTCTTATCCTTATTTTCCCTTTCAAGTTTTAAATTTCTTTTCTGCTCGTTTTTCAATTTTCATTTTTTGTTTAATTTTTATTATGAAATTTTCCTTTTTGTAAATCATCATTTCTCCAGGTAAAACCTGTTTTCATTTTTCTCTTAATTTATTATTCCTTTTGTTTATTTTTTCTTTTACTTGTCTTCTTTTTATTTCTACTCCATTTTAAGTACAGCTTTCTTTCATTTTCTTTTTCAAACTTTGATCCCTTTTTCAACTCTCACTTCCATTATTACTCTTAATTCTGCCTCCATTTTCTTCCTTTTTCATGTTCTAATCATTTTAATCCTTTTTTTAGTTTTTCTTCTTCTTATAGTTTTCATTTTACTCTTCCTTTTTCTTTCATTTCTACCATTTTTGTTTGTCTCTTATTGCTGTTATCAATATGTTCATTCCATCTATATTTGATCTCCAGTCATTTTTTATTTTTATTTTTAATTTCTTTCCTAGCTCACCTTTCATTTTTTTTTTACCAATTCTCTATCAATTCATTAATCTTTAGCTTCTTTCTCCATTTTTACAAATTTATATTTTTTCAATCTTATCTATTTGCTTTCCATTTTATCTCTTTTCTCTCCTTTTTCTGTGATTCTCTCTCTTTTTCTCATATTCTTCATCTTACTTTTCTCCCTCTTAATTTTACTTTTTCCATACATTTTTTCTACTGATATCTTCATTTTTTTATTGTTTTTTATTACCATGAATATGTCATTAGGCTTTTAGATTACAGAAACTTGAAATAAATCAGTATTTTCAGCTCATTTGTTTGTATCTCAAACAAAAGGAACTTACTATTTCATGTAGCAGCACCTCGAGAATCATGCTTATTTCATGTAGCACACTTAGAGCATAGTGGTTATTTCATGTAGCAGCAACTAGTGCATCATTATTAGTTCATGTAGAAGCCTCTAGAGCACCATGCTATTTCATGTAGCAGCACTTAGAACATAGTGGCTATTTCATGTAGCATCACCTAGTGAATCATGGATTTTTCATGTTGCAGCATCTAGAGCATCATGGGTATTTCATGTAACATCATCTAGAGTATCATGATTATTTCATATTGCAGTAACTACTGCAGAGTGTCTATTTAATGTTGCAGCATCTATAATAACTTAGATATTTTATTTATGAGAGCACTTTGGCTATTTCAAATAGCAGCACCTGGGCTATCTTCTACTTCTATGTGCCATGTTCCTTCAGAACATGAGTGATCATGGCTCTCCACAACTTCCTGTCTTTTGTAGCTTTTAGTAAATTTTGTCTTTTCTCTATCTTTCCTAATCCCTGTTCTACCAGCCATTTAAACAAGCTCATTAGGTAGCTTATCTTCTGCTTTTTTTCTGCCCTTCTCACCTTCAATATGTCCTTAAAACCTGTTTCCTCATTAGATGCCAAGAAATTTCAACTATCTCTCTCTGATGTTAAGTATAAGTGTCCTTTTTGTTTTCATTTTCGCTAAAACTTCATTGCCCACATGTTTCGTCCATGGTCTCAGCCTCCTTCCATAGAACCACATTTGTGTTGCCTTGTGTCTTTTCTTCATCCGTGAGAAGATTGTCCATTATTCCCTGCCATATAAGACGACCAAACAAGAATAAGAATGTTCTTTGATCTTAAACCAAATGCTCTTGCACTTTTTGTTAACTACCAAATACTAGTAATACTACTAAATACAAGTAACACTACCAAATACAAGTAACACTACCAAATACTAGTAACACTACCAAATATTAGTAATACTACCAAATACTAGTAATACTTCCAGATACTAGTAATACTTTGTCTAAGTTCCTGAAAGTAAATATCTTATATGACAAATTTATTATTTATTTCTCTGATACAAATTTTTATGATTTAGTTAGAACACTTAGATGTTGTAATAAAATGTAATAAAACTGTAGTAAGTTACTAGTAATAAATAAACAGGTGTCATAGCATGGCTGTTATTAAGATTGACAAACATGACTTCATGCATATAGCCAGAGAAAATGGACAATGCAGGAAATTATATTGTATGTATCTCTGTGTGCATGCATGTGTGTGTGTGTGTGTGTGTGAACAAAATGATCAAAACACAACAGCAAACTGACAATAAATGGAAAGGGAAAAGTCACAAAGGTTTTATTACTGATTTCTTGCTTGTCATTTGCTGATTCATTCAAAAACCAGTAGGCTCACCTCAAATGCCCAATCAATGCGTACCTTCTACATTAAGATGCCTCATGAGATTTTCCACCTACTTTTTGAACTGAAGGAGTGTTGTGAGCAGCCACAATGTGGAATAATAAATATACTTAATTCTAGACATTTTTTCACTATTTATCTAAGAACTGTACCCAGCCCTGAAATGGAAATATAATTGTTAAAATTCTTCTATACTCAGTGATGGTACCGAGAGGTTCACAATTTTTAAATTAAAATTCATAAGAAAATTCTTCAAATTAAAGATTGGAAAAGCATCTACCAAAATATTTTTATTTTTTAATCATTTCACCCCAAGCAAAGCACTAAAGCCACTAAAACAAAATGTGAGAAAAAATAAACATTATTCAGAAGAGAGAACAAAAAAGAACAGGAATTAAGAAGACAGAATATATACAAAGTTACGATTCCACAAGACTCTGTCATAACTACAAAGAAAAAAATTCAAAATGTAATATGGCCATTTCAATATTGAGTAGTAATTAGTTAGCTAGCCTCAGAGGCAGTTACTGCTGTAATGTGTTTAGTACTCATTGGTTGCTCCATACTTGTGGCCTTGTGCCATAGGAAAAAGCTTAGTAAATATCTAGCAACTGTACTATGAAGCTTTGGTTAACAAACTAATCTTTCAAAGAACTGAAATACAGATCTTATTTTGAATGTATATCTTTGTGGCTGGAGGCAGACTATTTTGGGGAATGCATACTATTGGTGCTGCAGGCAAACTTACTATTTTCAGCCAATAGACAAGACCCATAGATAATTCATCCTGCCAGCTTGCAGGTACTGTGCTATCTTCTTCTCTTGAGGTTGTTTGAATGCATCCAGCATTCTCCAGTAGCCATTTTGTTTCCTCCAGAAGCCATATCAGCATGAAGTTTGCAAACAGAAAAACTGCATTTGTTTTACAATTTGCTTTTTGATGAATAATCAAAAAACTTTCTTTCTTAACCTGGGAATTTGACATTGCCACATTTTATCCAGGACTTAACACCTAAACAATTTATTGATGATACAAAACTTAAGCACAGCATGAAGAACTGAAGAAATGTTGAAAATTACTATCAAAAAAATAAGAGAACAATCTTCTTTTATTGTCCCCTTAAAAGGACATACATTTCCTTTTCTTTTTTTCAATAGTAATTTTCAACATGTCTCCACATAGTATGCTTTAAATAATATGTATTTAAACAGTGTTTAATTTAAATAGTATTAAAATATATAATAATTATCAATGTGTATTTATTTCTATATTTCCTGTCCCATCTGTAATGAGAAGGGAGGTAAATGTGGAATTAATAAACTGAATAAAACAGTTGAATAATTCGACTTGTTAGTTACGTATACAATGTTGATAATTATGGTGTCAGAGAATGAATTCAACAGAAATCTAAGAATAACAACTAATAATATACAGAAGATAACCTTATAATCTTATTCTGCTAAATCCAGCTTCAATAAGCAATTATGGTAATGATAATATTATCTGTTTCCTTATAAGTAAACATTTGGCATTCATTGACTGAGAAATTTGAAGTTTCAAGAAAATAGTTTTCTCAAGTCCAGTAACTGTTATTGCTCTTTCCAGTATCAATGGAGGCTTCCTTCCTAATCTTTTGTTTGAAGTAGTGTAGACCATCAATATTTTGATTATATCATTATATTTTCTTCAAGTTACATGTGATATCCATTTTAGCTGTTAGTACAGTTGAATGTCCTCAAGTGATGTGGTTTTTGGTATCTGGTACAGTTCTTTTTTTGTGATTCTATAGTGCCAGTCTAGATTCAAAGAAGGAAGGATGCTCTTCGCCAAGATCCACAGGCTCCACTTGTTCAAAGCCATTTTTAACCATTGAGTGGTTGTATACAGCTAACTGTTTAGATATTTCTGAATGGGTCTGGTACCATGCATGGCATCCATATTGATCTTGATCTGACAAGACTTTTTATGAATTGAGGTTACTGTTTTGTAAATTGCTATGAAATCAAAACATTAACCTGAAAACATGAGTCATGTTCTTAAATAGCTTCGTTAGATTGAGACTTTTATATAGTTATGAATGGTGTCAAACTGGTTCAGAAATATCTAAACTGTCAGCTGTGTACAACCACTTTCTAAGATCAATGACTGAAAATGTCTTTAAGTGAGTGAGGCCATACTTTTTCAAATCTTGTGGACAAGTGCTGCAGAATTACAAACAGAGAACTTTACCAAATTGCAGAACTACATCACATGAGGTTTTTCAGCAGCAGCAACAATTAAAATGGATATCACATGTAACTTGAGGAGATTATAATGATATAATCAAGATGTTGATGGTTCACATTACTTTAAACAAATGTTTTGGAAGGAAGCCCCCATCAATACGGAAAGAGTGATAAGATTTACTGGACTTGAGAAATTTTCCTGAAAAATTGTTTTAAGAAAAAGACTTTATAAATTTCAACTGAAAGTAGTACTGACTGCTCATTCAATGAGTGCCAAATGTTTCCTTATAAGAAAAAAGCTAATATTGTTATTACTATTACCATTATCCTCAAATGGGCATGTGGCCGTGCGGTTAGAACGTTTGCATTCTGACCATGAGACCTGGGTTCAAATCTCACCATGGCTGATTTGTCAGGAAGCAGACTTTCTGATGTTATCGGTCTGAAGGGAGTGATCCTAGCGTGCAGCATCTTTAGAAAGTGCCTGAAAACCATACCATGGGTTGACCCAAGCCATGTGAATGAAATTGGGTAGACAGAACCATTGGTGGTGGTGGGGGGGCGTCAATAGCTGTGCTAGCACAAAGTCACAAGTCATTGTGACCAAGGGTTTGAGTGTGCTGGCCTTGTTCAGATTGTTGATTATGCTAGATAACACACTCTCTCCCAGAAACTGTAACTAAGGTCTGCTTGGCATAGTTGCAGTATAAACCACAGGTTGGCTCTGTGGGTGTTGAACAAACACAAATGTGCCTGAGCGAGCGTCTGCAATAGGGACTGGCTAGTCACTCTAATAGATGGGTATCCTTGGATACAAATGGCCAGCTATTATTATTATCCTCAAAAAACCATTATAAAAGAATTTTGTTTTTGATTTATGTTTGAATTTCTTTGATTTGACACTGTATTTATTTCCCAGGCCTTTTTGACATATCTATAATCATTCCATGCAAAAATGTTCATAAGTTCCGTTCTTTTATTATCACTCATATCAGCTGCAGGTTGATTTCATAGTGTCATCGTGAATTCCATGATCCTTTCATTGGCTGCATAATATTTGCTACACCATGACTATGAGTTGTCCTTCTCCTAGACTGGTTGCTGATTATGGCCAATCTGCCCTGCTATTTAACCTATAGCTGGGGAATGGGAAAAAAGAAGTTTCATACCTTTCCTAAAGTTATTTGTGTGAAAATGAATGTAATGCACTCAACCAGAATTTGAAATTGACTCACAAATTTGTTCCAAACTGCTA